TAGTTATTATATATATATATATATATATATATATATATATATATATATAAAGCAATGAAAATAAGACACTGAAAATAAAGTACAAAGAGAATTTCTACAAGTAGCAGCAGTTTTACATTTACAATAAATGTACCAGCATTTTCATTTAGCGAGTGAATGCAGTTTCCACGTTGCTATTCATTTCATCTACTAACATCATTAAAAATGACATATGAAAAATATGAAAAAAGCTTTTGGTTATTTTCGAATGAAAAAATAAAAGAGAACAAAATTTATTAATTTTCAACCAATAGATAAATACGTTAAAGTAAAAAATCTTCAAGATATTTGTCATATGATATCCAATATTTCGATGCATACTTCACATAATATTCTGATGTATAACATCCTTTAATCTTGAAGGTTTATATATTATTTTATACACGAAAAAAGTACCGCAACGTCTTATGTCTTGAATAGAAATGAAAGAATACTGAAAATACGCGAAAGCGACATTGCAATTGCGCTTGCGTCGATCGAATGCGAATAGGAGGCGATGATAATAGAAAATAAACAGTTACACATTTTACAATTATATATTAGTTTTAGATACTTACATGCGAATATTTTATCTAAATACATGCTAAAGCTATAATTTGAGCTATTTATTCAAAACAATTTCGTAATTTTGGTATTATTATGATATTTCTCCAACATTTGCAAATAATAAAACGTGGGAAATGTAAAATTATAAAGTAAAACATATTCGTAAGAGATAATAATATAGCAATATAGAAATATAGGTACAGAAAAAAATTTCTAGAGAAAGAAGTTCGTACAAATGCGTCACAATACTTGCACAGAAATGACTTGTGCGGCAGATAGTTATTATTCTATTAATCGAATCCTATTATTAATTGTCGGTTTATGGCCTTACCAAAAACCTGCTTTCAGACATTTTCTAATAACATTTATAACTATATTACTTATTTCCAGCGTAGTATTTCAGGTGACAATTCTTTTGAATTTTGTATTTAGAATTAATTAACTATCTTCGAATTATTATTATCTATCTATTAATAAAATGGAAAAATTAACAAAATGGAATATACTATACAAGATTGAGCATATAATAAATTTAAAAAAAGAAAAACAAAAATTATTTTCTAATTGAACGAAGTTATAATGACATAAGTAATAAATTTTTATATTCAATTAAAATTTTTATATTTGTATACTTTTTGTATATTTTTGTATATTTTTGTATATTTTGTATATTTATATATTTTTATATTTATACTTTCAACAACTTTTTTGACATCAGAGTTATTCTAACTAAATATTCCAATCTATCACTAATATTAAAAATCAAAATGTCTTGAAAAAAGTATCGCTTTCAGCTTACAACCTTTATCACGACAGAATACAGCATGGATCTTCTTTTGAAGGTCCTCGCGTACACCATTCCATGGATGAGTTATTTATTGAAGTATAACATTCTTTGCGTAAATAAGAAAAAGGTATATATTTGATAAATATATTTGATAAGATGATATAAAAATTTAAAATATTTTTGTGTACGAGAAAAAAATAAATAAATAACACTGATCTGCAAATTTTTTTCATTTCTGAAAAAGAAGAATTGTTTCCCATAATTTCTTGTGCGCCGAATCCAGCTCTCAGCATTATCAGCTACAAAATTTTAAAAATTGATCTAAGACATTTTGGAGCAGTTTCAACCTCATTTTTTTTTTCATTAATTTGATGTGATAGAATTCTTACTTGCGAAATTAGATTCAGCGCACAAAAAATTACAAAAAACTATTTTTATTTTCTAAACCGCAAAATCATGTCTGTGTAATTATCATTTTATCAATATAGATGCGAAGCCTCATGGAACGAGTGCGTTGCGATTGGAATGAATTAAATAACGCGCTTGAACTTGAAATAATAAAAAAATATTCAACTTTAGGAAGATTAATCACGTTGGGTACAACACGTAAGCAACTTTGTGAATAATTTTTCAATATGTTAAGCACTATAATGATATAAAATTGTTTTAACCCTTACAGTGTTCGTCTATATAAGTACATTTGGTTTCATTGTGATACAGCTTTTGTCAAATTTTATTCTTAACATAGCAGTGGCAACAAACGAGTCTCATCCACGACAACTTCCAGCCCCATTCGAGTGTTTTGTGGATGAACAAAAATATTTTACTCTACTTTTATTATTTATATTCATTTTGGCTTTATGTGGATTAACCACAATGGTAGCGACCGAGACACTTTTTATGTCGTATACGCAACATGCATGTGGATTATTTGAAGTAGCCAAGTATAAATATAGTATTTAAAAAAAGAGTCAATTAATTTTGATAACGTTTACAAGCGACATCGTTTTTCAGTTGCCGCATAGAGCAAGCATTGCACAGAGGTATGGCACGAAATGTATCATCTGTTGCTGAACAAAACTCAATAATGTGTCAGGGGATAATCAGTATGATCGATATGCACAAGAAAGCAATCGAGTTCGTAGTTTTTATTAATTTAAATTTTTTCAATTTGTATTATAATTTCTTTTTAAATTATCTCTCCAATAATTCTATGTCAATATAAAATATGAAAAAGTATGCGCGAAAGAATGCGTAAATTGTCAGTATGCGTAATTGCCGACAGTAATTATCTATACATATTTATTTTAACACATTTATTTAACACATTATTATTCAAGGTTTATCGAATTGTCGAATGCAAATTTTAAATTGGCGTATTTATTTACACTGCCAATGGCCACATTGACGCTGAGTATTAATCTTTATCGCGTAAGTAACTGCTACACTCATCAATACCTAATATCATTGAATAGTTAATATAGTCAGATGTTGTAAATATCCGCGTACACTATCATATCCGTAGATGCAAGATCTGTATTCCTCACAAAGCAAACTGATCGTCTATGTGATCGCAGCTTTCACGATTGCTAATGACCAAGGAATATCACGAGATAATAACAACTGGTACTTTCGTTCTTGGTCAGTTTTGGTACTTGTTCTTTTGCAATTATGTGGGACAAGAAGTGATTGATCATAGTGGCAATATCTTTCATAAGACGTGAGTTAATGTTTATTAGAAATAAGTAATAAATCTGCATCAATGTCGAAACTTTTATAATGCAATCTTCTAATGATATAGATACAACGTACAATGGTATATGGTTCCGTTAAAAGTGCAAAAGTTATTGCTATTTGTAATGCAAAGAAGCATGCGACATTGCACGATAATGATTGGCGGCTTATTCATTCCATCACTAGAAGGATTCGCCACGGTAAAAAAAATCTCATCGTCAATGATAATCTTTAATCATTTTTAACTTAGATTGTCAAAAGTGCAATTTTCATTTTAGCTCACAAGCATGTCACTTTCCTATTTTATGGTAATTTATTCTGTCCAGTGATTGTGCTTCTAAAATAAAATTCATTAAAATAAAATTCATAGTTGAGCACATAGATCGTCACGATGCAAATAATTCTGATATATTTGTTGCAAATACTGATATAATAATACAAAAGCAATTAATCTATATTATGTCTATTATTGTTTATTGTATAGAAACAAAAATGAAGCTTTTAATAATTTATTTTAATTTGTTTAAATCGTGTCGGTAATATAACAAAAAATGCATAATTCTAAAAGAAAAGTATTACTTTAAATCATTTTTATAAAAATTATAAAATTAATTAATCTTGAAAAGCACAATATATTATCATATGATAATAATATTATTATCATATGATAATAATATTATTATCATTTCTGGTACTTCTAAAGTGTTTATATTCCAATAATTGAATCTTAACAACAAAAAGAGAGAAAGAGAGAAAGACAGACAATAGTATAATAAGATCATTATTATCAAAAGCAAATTTTTCACGATACAATGAGTTTTAAGCGCATTTACAATGCGATTAAAACATTAATTGCATTAATTATATGTATTAACTTATTTTAATTTGTATGTAATCCAAAATAAGTCTTTATAATACTCATATCAAATGTAATATTTACCACATTGCCAAGCATATAGATCGCAGTAATGATTATAATCATAACGATCTTTCTAGTTAATCTTAGATTATATTAATACACATGTTATGTTAGCATATATTATTTTACTACACATGCCGCAAGAAAAAGTACTGCAACGTGTCGTCTCGAATAGAAATGAAGAGATATTGGAAACGCGAAAAAGTGATTTTACAATTGCGCCTGCGTCGATCGATCATAAGAAAGAATTATCAAACATGTATCCTGAGGAAAAAAATAATCGATACATCACGCAAGTAATAATATTTCCTCTGGAGATGATATAAACCTCAAATATAAACACTAATCAAATTTAAAATTATAATTTGCATGACTATAGTAAACTATTGTTACTTCATTATAATTTTACACGTGATCAATATGTTATTTTGAATATGTAGAAACAGTGAATTATAATCTGCAATCAAACATGCTAAATCTAAACGGTAACTTATGGAAAGAAATTCGGCATAAATGCGTTATAATATTTGCATTAAAACAAGATTGCCTTTTGAATAGTTATTACATAATTAATCGAATTTTGTCATTATGTATTGATTTATGGCCATATCAAACATCTAATTTCAAACATATCACGACGTAATATTTACAACCTTAATACTCATATTGAGTATAATATTTCAGATTTTTTTCAGACGATTTTTTTCTGTTGTATATTTCCTAATTAATTTTCATTACAATTATTTTCATGTACTACATATAATATATTAAGACTAGTAAAATAAAGTATACTAAATAACATTAGTGCATGATCATCCCTTAAAAAAATTCCTTCTTTATTATGAACATTAAAGTATAAAAAGGATTTGTAATAAATTTGACAATTATCTAGACAGAAGATTTTTATATACTTTGAATATTATTTTGTATAACTATTCTAACCAAAAGAATTATTGTTAATTTTTATATAAAAGTATGACTTATGTAAAAAATATTATTTTTTAGCTAAAAATATGACTTTCATTACAACAGAATACAATATAGATGTTCTTCTACATGTTTTCGCATATATTATCCCATAGCTAGCTTGTACAATAAAATATAACGTTCTTTGTTTAAATTTAAGACAGGTGAAAGTATTGGATATAAAAAAATTTGGGCATTTATAAGGATAATTACCGAAAAAAAGAGATTATTATTAATTTCATTTAGCATATTTTTTATAATAATAGTTTATTATTTTAAATACAGATGCAAGATCTTATGCAACGAGTGCATTATGATTGGAATGAATTAAACGATACGCAAGAAGTTGAAATAATAAAAAAATATTAAAAAATTGAAAAATTCACCACATTAATTACAGCGTCTAAGAAATATATTTCTTTTATATTCTAGATTCAGTTTTACTTTAATTCATAATTTAATTATTCAATTGTAGCATTCCTCTATGTATTTATTTCTTGCTTTATACTGGTACAATATCTGACGAATTTTGTTGTGAATTTTACAACTGCTATAAATGAATCTCGCCCGTGGCAGCTCCTGGTTTTAATCGAATGTTTTATAGACCAACAAAGATATTTTCTTCCAATTTTATTGAATGTATGTTTTGCAATTTTGTGTGCTTTAACCATGGTGGTAATCACTGAAACGCTTCATATGTCATACGCACAATATGCGTGTGGCTTGTTTGAAATAGCTAGGTAAAACGAACTTCAATACATTAAAGGATAGATTTAAACAGCATTTGCAAAAATATATTATTTATTATATTTCAGCTGTCGTAGAATAGGCATTACATAAGAATGCGATAAAAGCAGTCGTATCTTCTACCAAAAAATATTCGATAATATGTCAAGGGATAATTAATGGATTCAATATTTATAAAAGAGCAATCGAGTTCGTAATTGTTATTAATATAATTGAAAATTTATTTTATTTTGCTTTATTTTTATGATTCATATTCAAACCTCTTAACGTTTTAATAAATTTATATAAATTTTGAAATTTCGAGCAAGAAATCGAATAAATCATTAGCATATACTATTAATAATAATCATTTATAGTTATTTGTGAATATATATTTTTCTTTACACGTATTATTATTCAAGATTTACCGAAATTAAAAACAAGTTACAAATGGGCATATTCATTATTATTGCCATTAGCAATATTATCATTAAGTATTAATCTCGCGTAAGTAATTACATATATAATTACATATATAATTAATTATAATTAAACATACACTCACATACATTTATATAGATACGCCAATAAGATTTGGTAATTAGGATATCTCAATCAAGTATAGTGTCTATTAATATAATATTAGTAAAATATAAATTTTATTATTTCGTCCTTAGAAAAATAATAATTATTTATGTGCTGCAGTTTTCTCGATTAACGTTCAAGGACTATTACGAAATGAGTTTTAGCTTCCTATTCATTGTTGATCACTTTGGGTACATGTTTTTTTACAACTATTTGGACAAGAAATAATCGATCATAATAGCAATATATTTTACAAAACGTAAGTAAAGTATATATTAATTGATCGCATCAATATGACCAATCGAAATTCTTTTTTATCTGTCTGATTCACATAATTTGTATGAAAATATTAAAGGTAAGTAGATTAATATTTAAATTAGATAGTCAAGGTTAGGTTTAATCCTTATTAAGGTAATATTTTTCACAATAAAAACTTTACAATAAATTTACATATATAAATATATTAAAAGTTAATAAAATATAAATTGCAGCATTATCGAATCTTTTTGTTATAATTTTCTAATTATAAGATTATAGGTACAACGTGCAATAGTACATAGCTCCATTGAAAGCGCAAAAGTTATTGCTACTTCTGATGCAAAGAAGTATGAAACATTGCACAATCGTCATTGATGGTTTATTTATTCCATCGTTAGAAGGATCTGTCACGATAAAGATTTTGTCAACAATGATATTTTATCAAATAGCTTTATTTTAAATTTGCTAAAATGAAAACTTATATTTCAAATTGCAAGCATGTCAACTTCGTACTTTGCAATGATATTTTCCCTTTTTTGATCTTTGTTCTTTGATCCACCAAATATAAATTAAATCTTAAAATTCCACGATGCAGTAGTTCTGATAGTAAACATACTATACGTTGAAATGACAAATATAATAATACAAATGCAATTATAATATTACATGATTAATCATTACTGTATATAAAATGACATAGAAGTATAATATTATATTCATTGTTTAATTTTTGAATTGTTTCCGCAAAAGTACGAAACACTTACTATCACTTTTCTATTATACTCACAATAACATTACTTGTTGAATATAATCTTCTATTACATAGAAACTGCAATCAACGGAAATAAAAAATAAGGACATGCAACGTTATAGCAATCTCATAAAATATTATTCCAGCAGATTCCTTTTATATTTATAAAATGCTTGCAAGCATTAGTAATATTAACTCGATTAACAATTATGTTAGTATTTTAGGTTTCTTGCGTTTCAAAATAGAATACCCGACATACAATTATAAAAGAAGGGAATATAAAAAAATTTTTAATATATAAATATTTAGTTTACGCGAAATAATATAAAAAATCCTTATCAGTCGTTATTCACTTAAATATCATTATCATTTTTAACTTTTATAACGCAGTTATTTTCCGATAAGAAAAATTTAACTTTAATAATTACAAACTAATTTAATAGAAACGTAGTGTTGAACACATTTGAACATATTTTTCATAAAAAGTTTCAAATACAATTATATGCTTTAGTATAACTAATTCATTGTATCAATAATTATATTAGCTTACTTCAGTTTTTATATAATCGTAAATTTTGCTACTCATACCAAATGTAATATTCACAGAGTTTGTCAATAATCTACACAGTAATTTTTTAGTTAATGTCAAATCATGTTGATATATTAACATATTATTCCACAATATATATTATGAGCCAGTATTGTAACGTGCCACGTCTTAAACAAAAATGAAAGAGGATCAGAAACACGTGAAAACAAATGCACTATTGCGCTTGCGTCGATCGATCGTAAGAGAGAAACATCAAATGAGAGGAAAAGGATAATCGGTCTATTATGTATGTTTATTCGCAATGACTGTAAATACAAATACAAATCAAATATAAAGAAGTTATTATTCAAATATCTGTAGCAAACTATACATGAATAAAATATAATAACTTTACACAAGTCAGTGCATCATTTTGTATATGCAAGAATAGCAAATTCGTTTACAATCTATAATGTACAATCAAACATTTTATACTTAAGTATTTAAGTGATAACTTGTGGAAAGAAATTCGACAAAATCGTATTATGACATTTGCACCAAAACAAGATTGTTCTGTAGATAGTTACTATACAATTAATCGGATTTTATTATTATGTGTCGGTTTATGGCCATATCAAAAATCTAATTGGAGATACATTATAATAACATTTTTGACTATAATATTCATATCGTTCATAGTATTTCAGGTATAATAATCTATTTTATATTTTATAAATCTAATTAATTTTCATTATTTTATGTAAAGAAATGTAGAGATATAAAGAATTTTGTAAAAATGTAATATAAAATTAATATAAAGCACACTAACAAACATTATACATCATTATTTTAAAAAGAAGACTTTTTTATTAAAAATATTACATTATAACTAATGTGAAAATAAATTTGAAGATATTTAAGTAAAACTTTTTACATATATTAATTATATATTTTGGATTCTCTCCCTTTTTCTATCTCTCTCTTTTCTCTGAAATAAGCATCCTCCAGTCTGGCTAAAAAAATTATTGTAACTTTAACGTAAAAATAGAAATTATTTCAGAGGAAAATATTACTTTTAGCTAATGACTTTTATCACAGCACAGTACAGTATAGATATTCTTCTACATATTCTTGCATCTTGTGTTCCATGGGTAGCCTACACGTTAAAATATAATTTTCTCTGCTTAAACTCAAGATCGGTAAGAACATTTGATCAAACTCGAATACTTATAGGGATACTTATAGAGCTTGTAATAAAATAAATGATTATCATTAACTCCATTCAGGATATTTTCCAAAAATCATAATAAATAAATATCATTTCATGAATATAGATACGACGCCTTATGGAACGAGTCTATTATGATTGGACTGAATTAAATAACGTGCAAGAATTTGAACTAATAAAAAAGTATTCAGCTTTTGGAAAACTTCTCACATTGATTGTAACATGTAAGCAATATTTCAAATAATCTTTTGAGATTCGATTCCATATTTATTTATTTAATTGCAGTGATCATCTATACAACTATTTTTTGCTTCATCATAATAATGTTTCTGCCAAATATTTTTCTAAATGTTTCAACTACTATGAATGAATCACGCCAAGTACAACTTCCAGTCCTAACAGAATATTTTATAGATCAGGAAACATATATTGTCCCAATCGTTTGTCATATGGGTTTTGTTCATTTGTGTGCATTTACTAGTATGATAGCCAGTGAAACGTTTCTTATGTCATGTGTACAACATGCATGTGGATTATTCGAAATAGCCAGGTAACACGAATTTTAAAATGTCAATTAATTTCTAATGCTTTGCAAAGATGTTGCAATTATCAATTTCAGTTATCGCATAGAACGAGCATTACACAAAGACATGGTACATGGTATTACATCTTTCACCAAAAGAAATTCAATAATATGTCGAGGAATAATCAATGGGTTCAGTATGTACAAAAAAGCTATCGAGTATGTAATTGTTATTTGTAATATAATTAGAAGCTTTTCTATTGTAACATGATTCTTTTTTAATTAATTTAACCTTTTCAAATTTATAACATGTCATACGAGAAATTATATAAGTTATTAACACATAACTAACGACAATCATTTACAATTCTTTATATAAATATTCTTTATGCATACTGCTATTTAAGATTTATTGAAATATTGAAAGTATATTGCAAATGGGCATATTCATCGTTATTACCGTTAGGAGTATTGTCGCTGAGTATTAATCTTTATCGCGTGAGTAATTATATTTATATAGATACTAATTCATATATAAAAGCTGAATAATTAATATATTTTAATATAAATAATAAAAATATTATAATATAAATATTAAAAATGCTATCAATGTTGTGTGCTTATTATAATTATATTCATAACTAAAAATTGTACTACTTCTTTTTCATGGAAATAAGATAATTATTCATATGCTACAGTTTTCTCATTTAGTGACGTCCGAGGAACATTACGATATGATCATTAACTTCATGTTTATCGTTGGCCATTTTGGGTACATGTTTTTTTGCAACTATGTAGGACAGGAACTAATCGATCATAGCAGCGATGTTTTTTATAAAACGTGAGCCAGTGAATACAGGTTAATTCTTAATTGATTGTATCAAAGTATTGCGAAAAAGCGGAATAGCGGCCACAGATGCATCACGAGACGCCGCCGAGCGGAATCACATCAGGTCGTCACATACAAAAATTCATACTACGCGGTTTCTCTGATGTCGTCGCCTTTATCCGATAAAACGTCATGTTTTGCGACCGAATATCCTTGCGACAAGGATAGCGTGCTACTTCAGAATCGGGCCGTGATTGTCTGAGTTACAACTCTCGATTTTTACTATAAATAAGGGTAGCATTCGGGTGGCTAGCAGACTGAGTCTGACTGGAATAGCGCATGGATCCATCATTTGAGACCTCAACGCACAAAAGAAGCCGAGTCTTCATAAAACAATAAGTCGAGTCATTACACGATCAATAAGTAAATGGAACCAATATTCGGGGCAATTTCCGCGTACACGCGTGCTTACATGTAATCGCATCACAAAATAATCACAGTCAAAGTTTTTTATTATTATTTATATTATAAGTCTGCTTGTTTTACTTGATTTTTATTAAACTGAAAGCAAAACAAAGATCTAAATTGTATTACGCAATCAATTAAGAGTTAAAAAAAATATAAATCTACGATATTTATCTTAGTTTTCATATTAAGTTATGATTTTCTAATGACAAGATTTTAGGTACAACCTGCGATGGTACGTAATTCCATTGAAAGCACAGAAGTTACTGTTACTTGTGATGCAAAGAAGTATGCGACATTGCACAATTGTTCTTGGTGGCTTATTCATTATGTCTTTACAGGGATTTGCTACGGTATAAATTTTGGCAACAATAATACTTTGTTAAATAGTTTTGCTTTAGATTTATTAAAATAAAATTTATATTTTAGATTGCAAGCATGTCAATATCGTATTTTACAGTATTATTTTCTCTCTTTTGATCATCATTTTTTTATCTACGTATGATGAAAATTAAATTTTAAAATTCCACGATGCTAATAATTCTAATAGTAAACATATTTCATATACTCAAGTAGAAATATATAATACGGATGTAATTATATTATATTGTCATCATTACTGGACATAAAATGAATATAGAAATATAATATTATATTCACTGCTTAATTTTTGAATTGTTATTTCCGCAGAGTATGAAACACCTACTATCACTTTTCTATTATACTCACAATAACATAACGAATATAATCTTCTATTACATAGAAATTTAATGACGAAGTCAACGGAAATAAAAAGCTGAGAACATATAACACCATAGCAATTTTAGAAAATATTTTACAACAGATTCCTTGTATATTTATAAAATGCTTATAAGCATTAGTATATTAACTATTAGTATGACTATTAACAATGATGTTATTATTTTAGCTTTTATTACGTATTGAGTAATCGACATGCAGTTATAAAAGAAAGGAATATAAAAAAATTTAGAACATATAAGTAGATATCAGCTTACGTGAAAAGATATAAGCAATCCTTATCAGTTGTTATTCACTTAGATATCATTATCATTTTTAATTTTTATAATGCAATTATTTTCCCATAAAAAATTTAGCTTTAATACAAACTAATTTAATAGAAACGTAGCGTTGAACACATATTTTTCATAAAAAGTTTCAAACACAATTATATGTTTCACTGTATCAATAATTATATTAGCTCATTTCAGTTTTCATATAATCTAAAATATTGTTACTCATGCCAAATGTAATCTTCACGGTGTTTGCCAACATCTACACGGTAATCTTTTTAGTTAATGTCAAATCA